CCTATCCCGAGGAATTGGGATCAATGGTTGAGTTCATGGATAAAAACTCGCATCTCTTCAAACTGAGTCCTCTGGAAGTGGCCAAAGAGATCAATGTTAATGGGTTTGAGAATATGTCACGTAATCTGATGGACAGGGAGGCCCAGTATGAAGACATCATTGCGAGAGTGAAACCCGATGTTATAGTTATTGATTCATATATGGGTTGTCCGGCGCTCACCAATTCTGGCGTTCCCTTTGTATGGCTCTACTCTGCAGCACCTCTGATGGCTTTTAATGATAATAGACTACCACCACCTTGGTCAGGTATGTTTTGTATAATTAATACCTTTATAACTTGAACTTTCTCTCTCTCTCTCTCTCTCTCTCTCTCTCTCTCTCTGATCTTTAAAAAGTAATTTTTACTAAAAACTAAACTATTATCAGGATTACCGACAAATTCAACGGAAGATTGGCATGAATTTAGAGATAAATTGGAGAAAATGCACGAAAATATACATAATATGGAGAGTGAATGGTATCAAAAGCGTGGCATAAATCTGGAGTCAGACAGTAATCTACTGATACATCCCGTGTCTAAACACCTCAACATTTATATGACTCCCGAAGAACTCGATTATCCAGAGATCCAACCCTTGGCTCCTAATTGGAGACGAGTGGACGGCTTCGTGCGCACCACTGATGAGACCTTTGAGATACCGGAGTCTCTGAGGAGTAGACCCGGAAAAATGGTGTTACTGTCGATGGGCTCTATTGGCTGCACACATATGGAGTTAATGAGACGTTTGACCACAATTTTAGGCAAATCTAAGCATAAGTTTATTGTTAACAAAGGTCCCATACATGAAAGATATGACTTACCGGACAACATGTGGGGCCAACCCTTTCTACCGCAGACAGCGATCCTACCATTGGTTGATTTGGTGGTCACTCACGGCGGCAACAATACGGTCACCGAAACCTTCTTCTACGGCAAACCAATGCTTGTGTTACCACTGTTTGGAGATCAGTACGAAAACGCACAAAGACTTCAGGAGACGGGACTGGGAGTAAGACTCAGTCCTTTCCACTGCACTGAAGAGGAATTGTTGACATCAGTCGACAAATTGGTTAACGATTTAGAGTTGAGTCAAAGGATGAAAGCGATTGGAGAGAGGATTAGGAATTCAAATGATAAGGAAGTGATCGCAAGTCTTATCGAAGATATAGTTTTATAATAATAAAAATGTTTATTAAATTAATTATAAAATATTATTTTTTATAATTTTTTATATAATAAATTAAATCTGATTTTAAGTATTTCTATGTTTGTTCATCATTTTAATTATCATTTAAATCGCAAAAATATTAACACAATTGGAGATTTTGAGCGATTCATACAATTCTTGATGTTTTGGATCCACATATGAATTACTATCGGTTTTATTATGTCTATAGTCGGGGAACTGGCCCCACATCTGTGAGATCATAGCCTGACTTTCCTTAGAGCCCGAGTAGTCCAACATATTGGCGGTCCAGACGCCCACTCCTCGCAACTGCTTATAGTTAGCGAACCCAACCTTCAGGGACAGGCTGTAGGGGTTGTCGTACCAGAGCTGACGGGTCGTGTTTGTCGTGTCCTATGATATAACAATAATTAGTTTAATTTTTGGTAATTATTGATTAAAGTTTTTGAATAAGAATCTCTATCTCTCAATTATTTAGTCAATTATTAAATCATAATTATAAACTGTCAATTATATTTAACGCAAATATAAGCTAGTTAAATATTATTTAATTAATAAATATTTTGGCTCTGAACGACTAAATGAATTTATTTATTATTGTTTTTTTGTTAGTTTTAAAGTTTAAATGTAAAAGCCAACTGCCCCTTACATTGAAATACGCAAACCTAGACTTCGAGTGCTCGTCCCACGTGTCCCCATAGGTGTCCACCACTTTCATGATCTCCACGTACGGCACCTGAATTCCCGCCGCATCACTGCACTTAACCCCACGGAAGGGCACCTCCTTTATATAGCACGTACGCTCGGGACCCGTTTTGACACACGTGTAGTCGTACCCATACCAGGGCAACCCCAACACCAGTTTGTTGGGGTCGATACCCAACTTCAGGTACGCCATTATACCCCCAGCCGTGTCGTAGAGGGCGGAGTTGGCCTGAGCCGTGCAGTCGGAGTCAAACACTTGACTTCTCTCGTCGTAAGCCATAATGAATAGGAAGTCCGACGCGTCGGCCAGTGCTGTGAAGTTGTAGTTACGGCCGTCGATACCCGTCCCTTAAAATCGCATTAAAATTAGTAAACTTTTGATTAGTAAAACTGGTTTATACTGTAATAATAATTTTAAAACTAAATAAAAATATATTAAGTAGGAATGTCCTTTATCAAAAGTAAAATTTATCATTTCTGTAGATATTTTAGTATTCAGTACCATTATTAGATTTAATTTCAGTAAAAACTAAATTCCACTTGAGGCATAAAACGTTAAAATAATTAAAATTAGTTTTAATTAATTAGCAAGCATCTCTATGTATATGTATTAAAGTGTAGTGCAGTGAAGTAAGAATATGGGGTCAAAAGGGCTAACAATTTCTTGTACTAAATTGATAATCATAAATATTAATTTTAATATAAAATTACAATATACGGAGTTCACCTTAAATCAAAAATGACTTTAATTTAAATTAATACTATGACTTATGATTTTATAGATGTCTTTACTATTTAAAATGAAAACTATTTCCTGTAAGGATGATTGTCTTTTGATATCACCAAAATTATATCAATGTATTAATATATAACCTGGCCACATTTATGATTATATATAATTTACAGCTTGTAATCAATTTTATAATTAAATGAATAAATAAAAATGCATGTAATTCAGTTTAAATTAAACAAATTACAAAATGATAACGTTCACGTCAGTGAGATTACCATTGACATTGTATGGACTCCAGGGTACATCGAAGGTCACCTGTGACTTAGGCATAGCCGCGTGGAACCGGTCCCTGCATATGGCCATAAACTCCGACAGCCCGTCCACATAAGGACTGCCACTCTCTATGTCGTACTCGACGTCGATATTAATTCCGTCCAAAAACCTGTCCTTTGCGTACACTATCTGATCGGAGATCCATTTGTCCACCTTTTGGGAGTCCGTTAAGTCGTTTTTGGGAATTACACCTGAGATATAAAACAAAAACAAAAATGTCTAATATCAGTGCTAATAATAAGTTGGTTGTCTTTTTCCGATTATAAATCATTTTTAAAACTATTTGTTTGTAGATAAATAAATTAATTAAAATTTTACAGTTTTAAAAAATAATGTGTATTTGTTATTATATTAAATCCGTTCAATCAATTTTGGGAATTACAGCTGAAATATGTCACACAAAACCTATTTTAATATCCCTGTTAAAAAAGCTCTTCTCTGTTTTGTTACACAATTAATTAATTTTAAAGTATTAGGGCATTGACTCAAACAATTAGTTTAAAGTTTACTGTTTTTAGTGTAATATACTGTATTTTTGTCAACTATTTTAAGCGTAAGTCTCACCCAATCCGACAACTCTGGCCTTATTTTGATAAAGTATTAGGGCATTGACTCAAACAATTAGTTTAAAGTTTACTGTTTTTAGTGTAATATACTGTATTTTTGTCAACTATTTTAAGCGTAAGTCTCACCCAATCCGACAACTCTGGCCTTATTTTGATGGGCGAAACACATCAACTCCGGGTCATACCATCCAAACAGGGCTACGGTTGTGATCCGTTTCCAATCAAATAGAGACCATTCCGTACGGTTTGATTGGCCCACAAATACGTACACCTATCATACAAATTAAATGATCAGGTTTACACTAAAATATTCTAATATAATTCACAATCCAGGCTGTTTTAAAATGTTTAGTAATAATGATTCAAAAATACCTCTTTTCCGTTGTAGTCGATTGGATTGCAAAGGGTTTGGTCCTCACAGGGACACAGGTTTGCCCGACATAACTGTGCAAATAGGATGAACACCAACCCTGGACACAACCATTTAACAGACATTTTTCTAACTATACTAATATCAAAACAATTTAATGACAATAAAACTTAAAACATGTACATGCTCAATATACTGCACATATAAATATTTTCATAATATTTGTTTTTACGTATAATGTTCAGGTATTTTGAGATAATTTTTATTTGTTTTCACTTATCATTTGCTAGATTAGAGAAATTCATTTATAAGATGTATTAACAAAAGAATTACAGAATATAAAAATTATAATAAATAATAAAGTTTAATGAACTTGATTTCAAAAATACTTAAAATCATTATATATTTATTTTTGAATTTTATCAAATTTAATTAATTTTCTATACAAATAAATTCCCATTAAATTTATTTTATATATTTTTAAAATACCAAGTATAATATTTTGGAAATAATACATGATTTTAATAATCAATTAAAACTCATAATATTGACATAATTGGAGATTTTGAGCGATTCATACAATTTTCGATGTTTTGGATCCACATATGAATTACTGTGAGTTTTATTATGTCTATAGTCGGGGAACTGTCCCCACATGTCGGATATCATAGTCTTACTTTCCGGAGTGCCCGAGTAGTCCAACATATTGGCGTTCCAAACACCCACTCCCCTCAGGTTTTTGTATGTAGCGAACCCAACCTTCTCTCCCAGACTACCGGGGCCGTCGTACCAGATTTGACGGGTCGTGTTTGTCGAGTCCTTTCATATAAAGAAAATGAGTTTGGTCATTTTGTAACTATACAGTAAGTTATAATTAATTAATTAAATGTTTATTGTAAATATCTCTGCTCTTTCCCTCATCTAGTTAATTATTAATTCAAATATTATAAACTATAAATTATATTTAACATAAATATGAGCTTGTTAAATAATAGTTAATAAAGAATACTTTTGGACTCAATATTAGATTAGTATAATCTCAACAAATTATAAACACATGTTTGAATACATCATAACTTATATTAAGTCATAATGTTATACGGATTTAAATGAAAAGGTTAACTACAATATCTCTTACATTGAAATATGCATATCTAGTCTCCGAGTGCTCGTCATACCAGTCCCCATAAATATCCACCAATTTCTTGATCTCCACGTACGGCACCTGTGTTCCGGCCGCATCACTGCACTTAACCCCCCGGAAGGGCACCTCCTTTATATAGCACGTACGCTCGGGACCAGTCTTAATGCACGTGTAGTCGTACCCATACCAGGGTAGGCCTAATACCAGTTTGTTGGGGTCGATACCCAGCTTCAGGTATGCCATTATACCCCCAGCCGTGTAGAAGAGGTCAGAGTTAGCCTGCGCTATACAGTCGGAGTCAAACACTTGACTTCTCTCGTCGTAAGCCATAATGAATAGGAAGTCCGACGCGTCGGCCAGTGCTGTGAAGTTGTAGTTACGGCCGTCAATACCCGTCCCTTAAAATGGCATTAAAATTAGTAAACTTTTGATTAGTAAAACTGGTTTATAACAAGAATTTTAAAACTAAATAAAAATATATTGAGAGTCTGATGTTTTTACCAAAACCAAAAATATATAAATGTATTCATATATAACCACATTTATGATTATATATAATTTGCAGCTTGTAATCAATTTTATAATTAAATGTATAAATTAAATGCATGTAATTCAGTTTAAATTAAACAGATTACAAAATGAAAACGTTCAGTGAGATTACCATTGACATTGTATGGACTCCAGGGTATATCGAAAGTGACCTGTGACTTAGGCATAGCCGCGTGGAACCGGTCCCTGCATTATGGCCATAAACTCCGACAGCCCGTCCACATAAGGACTGCCACTCTCTATGTCGTACTCGACGTCGATATTAATTCCGTCCAAAAACCTGTCCTTTGCGTACACTATCTGATCGGAGATCCATTTGTCCACCTTTTGGGAGTCCGTTAAATCATTTTTGGGAATTACACCTGAGATATAAAACAAAACATAAAAATTATGTTTAATATCAGTGCTAATAATCTTGTTGCCACCTCTTCCCACAATTAAATAATTTTAAAAGTATTAGTGTATTGGTTAAAACAATTAATTTATAATTTACAGTTTTTAATGTGATATTTCTATATAAATTATTTGTGACAATATTTTGAGCGTAAGTCTCACCCAATCCGACAACTCTGGCCTTATTTTGATGGGCAAAACACATCAACTCCGGGTCATACCATCCAAACAGGGCTACGGTTGTGATCCGTTTCCAATCAAATAGAGACCATTCCGTACGGTTTGATTGGCCNAACTCTGGCCTTATTTTGATGGGCGAAACACATCAACTCCGGGTCATACCATCCAAACAGGGCTACGGTTGTGATCCGTTTCCAATCAAATAGAGACCATTCCGTACGGTTTGATTGGCCCACAAATGCGTACACCTGTCGTACAAATTAATGATTAGTTTTATGTAATATTAATAATATTTATGCAGTATTTTTAATTTCATTAAATTAGTTATAAATTTCTATATAATGGTTCAAAAATACCTCTTTTCCGTTGTAGTCGATTGGATTGCAAAGTGTTTGGTCCTCACAGGGACACAGGTTTGCACGACATAACTGTGCAAATAGGGTGAACACCACCGATATACACAATAATTTGATAGACATTTAACAAAAGTTAATTTACTAGTTACTATAATTAATATCAAAGCTATTTAATGACAATAAAACTGTTAAAACAATGTATAATGTGAATGTATGCATAAATATTTGCACAGTATACTTTTAATAGTAATGTTCAGTTAATCAGAGATAATTTTTTATTTGTTTTCAATTATCATTTTCTAGATTAGGGACACTCATTAAGCGTGTATTTATCCAATGGTATTAACTAAATGTTAAATATTTTTAGGTTTGTTATAAATGTTAAACTTTAATGAACTTAATTTTTGAAATACTTAAATTATTAACTTAGTTTTGTCCATTTAAACAAATATTACTTATTATTAAATAACATAAAAGTAACTATAATTGAGTGTCAATTGTAATTATGATGAGAAAAGGCATATGTTTTCTGAGATAATCTAATCATTGATTGGTATAATAATCAAAGTAATGACCTTTACTTTACAGACATTTGTTTTCTCTCTCATCCTTAACCATAATTATTTAATATATCTGTAATTTTTGAATTAAAATTTT